TATATATATATATATATGCCCTTTACTGTTTTGCTCTGATTGTTTAATTAGTTTGGTTTTTTTTCAGTTTTTGGAATTACGAGGAGAGACGTGGAAAACGGGAATGTTGTTTTTATTTTCCTCGTCGATCCAATTTTTCAACGTAGAAAGCCCAGCCCTCCTCGAAGAGAAATCGAATCTCACGCGACGCGAGAGGTCGAAGCTCGCGCGGAAAGCTCGTCGTGGAAAATTCCCGGCGTAAAGCGCTTGTTTCAAGTGTCGTTGCACCATCGACACGAATAATCGAGCATTTTTAAAATTCAAGTAGGCCGCTAATCCGGTTTTCAATTTATTTTTCTCTCCCCGTGGGTCGAAAAGATCCCAAGCAGTGGATAAAATTTCTCACTCGCGAACCTCGTCTTTCCGTGTGATCGACGAGAGATGGAGAGAAGGAAGGAAAGAAAGAATGTCAATGTTAACTACGCTAATCAATAGAAAAGGGTGTCTCGAGGAAGTTCAAATAGACTTTGTCGCGCGCACTCTCACGATTTCACTCGCAGTTTTGTCCCATTCCTTGATTTGTGCGCGCGACAAAGTGCCAAGGAAAATTCGATCGCGCGATAAGAATTTCAATCCCTGGAAATCTTCGCTCACCAACGTTGAATTTGGGTCGAGGAAGATTTTTTATTCTCGTTCATCGGATATTGAAGGGATGTTGAAGATAAAATTGCGTTCGGTTCGAGTTTAAACGAGCAAGTTTCAAATTTTTAAATTCGATTCGGATCGAAAGTATACGTGGTTAAAGTGGGTACACGCGAGGATGATATGGTACTTTCTCACGATCACGGGTTGAAATGGTAAAAATTTATTTGGTTTGGAAACTGGGTCGTGTTTGGAATAATTTATCGCCCACGGATTTGAGGAAGACAAACGTCATTGTTTTGTCAACCAGAATCGATTATGGTGTTTGGTGTTACGAAACGAGACGTGATTCGATTTTCTGAATTATAAATCGAAATTATATATGGGGGTAAGAAAGATTTATCTTCTAAAAAACGAAGAGAATCGAGAGAGGGATGGTCATCCTCTAGAATATATAATATAATGAATAGATAATTAATGAAACACATTATATAGATCTCTGTTGAGATAGCGAACAACGGAATCTGTTGATGAATAATTCATCGATTTTTGAATAGATAAAACACGGATATATTTATCACAGGAGAAGAGATTCCAAAAAATACCAATTACTATAGAAAGCAATCTATTCTAACCTCCTCTCTTTCGATCAGACTCCCTCCCTATGCACGCATAAATTTCCCAACAACAAAAGAGAGCAAAAGATCTTTCAAATTCTTCTTTTTACATTCCTCGGATATTACAAGACATTCAATCAAGAATCTATATTACTAACCTATATTATACCTGTATTTAAAAATAGAATATCAAAAATTCGTCTTATTTCTCCCCGACTTTGAACGGAAAACCCAATAAGAAATTTACTCGAAATACGATTGTATTTCGAGAAGAAAAATTTCGCTTCGCAACCCCTGCACTTGGAGAAACCCCCCTCGATTCTCGCCATCGGGGAGCGCCGTTATGTTAATACTCCGGCTTCGAACGTAACGGCGCAAGTGCAAGCTGCGTGTCGGTCGCCGTCTCGCGCCGACCGTTCCACCCGATCGGCTGCAATCATTGTTATTAAACGCGACGGATGGTATTATCGCGTGGAACGATCGGCGCCGCATCCATCTACGAGCATGCCTACAACCGGCCCTGTAACGGTCGTGCCTCCCGATCGCACGCGGGTCACCGTGCGGAAGCGCGCGTCACGGGGAGCCACGCACCGTCCAAATCTGTCAGTGGGTCATTGGTGCGCCGCGCCTTTCCACAAGAGTTTCCAATCGACCTTGACCGCCATCCTCTGCCCATCGTTCGCGCCTCCTTCCATGCATTTGGAAAATTTTTGGCAGAGGAAGAGGGGAATTTTCGTATAGGAAGAAGAAATCGTGGAGAGATTAGAATTGTACAAATTGGCTTTCTTTATTCAAAAATTAAGAGGAACGTGATGGCGAAGAGTAAATTTAATAAGTTTTGCAAATAATCTTGTCCATCCAATTTTATTTTATGAAAATATATATATATATATATATACATATTAGAACTAATTACAATTAATTCGTTTCAGAGAATAATAAGTCTACGTGAAACGAGATTTTTCACTCAACTTTATTAATTTTTTCGTCCAAATCGCCGGGACCAAGTAACGATTCACAAAAGTACGTGTCTCCCCGCGTTCTTGGAAAGCCTGTACGAGCCTCGTTATCTTGAGGAAGTGGGCATCACGCGAGGTCGTTGGCGAATTCCTACGGATTTACGGTACACCTAATCAATTCGAGAAACGAATAACTCGCGTGACGTATACGCGAAAAAAAAGAAAAATCCGCTTTGATTACGTGCGCCTCGTTACAAATATTGGTAACGGTACTTGGCAACGTGTGAAAGTCATTTCTCGCCGGGTGGAAAGCGATCGATAATCACCGCTAAATGCGATGTCCCTTGTGTTAAGAAAGTGTTTAGAAAGAGGAAAGAGCGAGTAGAAGAAAGATGGTCGTTTGTCCGAGCGAGATTTGGCACGAGTTGAGATGAATCTTTTGAGTTTCGGTTGGGTTTTAATTTTCTAGCTTCATCCATACGGGTTGCGGTAGGCTAGATAGGGAGAACCTTGTTGGTAGTCGTTTCTGTGAGACGGCCAGATTTCCTCTCCGTATCCTGTGGAGAAAAATTATCGATCGAATTGAGACTGAATAAATACTGGAAATACTGTAAGTAATTTTGTGACGATCGTATTATTATCAAAAGTTATTATTTTATTTTATCTTGTGTAAAAGAGCGAGGTAAGGAGGGCAGATTAGTCGATCTCAGCCTAGAAAACGTTACAAGGGGGATCGGTTACACTCGACTAATCTCTTTTTTTTTTTTTTTTTTTTTTCAGAGAAAATACGTGCAATTACGGTGGAAATCACTGCGATCATCGCTCGAGATATCATATTGGAATCGCTTCTCGCCCATCAATTCCGCGTCGAGGGATCATCGAGCGTGTTATATAACTGTGGTTCGCGAAAGAGGTATTGTGTCATCGAGCACCGCACGATTACATTATTTATACGCGCGTTATTTCGACCAATCGTCACGGTCGTGTCGGTCTTAAAATCGTGCCTCGTAATATCGTACACGTTCCAAAATGACAACGAACCGTGACACCACACCGGTGAGAAAGGTAAAGGCGGTCGCCTTTTCTGCCTCAAATTTACCTGATGGATAATCGACCGGCGCCTCGGCGGCTGTAGTCCACAGGTGGTGGGGGTAACCTTGATGATAGGGCTGCGACATTTTGCAGATCTTGAGACGCGTGAACAGTATCGGGAGGAGGATCGAGGCGATCACTAGGATCTTTTTGATGAAGTGAACGGCGAGGAAGATCGGCACTATCCAAAGCTTCAGCTTCATCAATTTGAAGAGGATCAAGAGTGGGAGGATCAGAGCCTTCTTGTGCTTGATCCCTCGCCAAGCAGCTGTCAATTCGGAAATGGAAATTTATTAAAAAGAAAGGATCGGTCGAAATCTTTTTTATTAATATTTTTGTTATTCTTATTCCAATCTCTTTTGAAATCTCTTTCGCGTTGAATCAAATTTCGATCGATTATTCGTCAAGATTATTTGTATCTTTAAAATTTTCAATTTCCATTTCAAATACTTATTCTCTTTTTACTTATTTCTGCTCGTTTATAGGTAAAAGGGGTTGAGGAAGGAGTGCAAATTACCGTCGGATATGCCTCTGCTCTCCATCCGAGCGAGTTGATCCTCGTCCACGATCATAGGCATAGTGCCGAAACTTCTCGCGGAAGCCGTGTTGTCGATCGTGTAAACGAAAGCTCGTTTCGTAATAAGATCCTCAGCCGTGTCCCTGGCGAAGTTCAAGGCCTCCATTATGCCGGTCTTGAACGCGCGAGACTCGGGCAATTTCGGGATAACCGATTGCTGCGATAGTGACGGGATTCTGACGATGCGGATCGCGCCATACTTGAATTCCTAACGAGGTTTCAGTCATCCATTAATCATTATTTTATCATTAAAAAGAAATATTACGAAAATTAACAAAATAATATAGATATTAACTTTTATTAATAATTGGATTTCTTTTTCATTCGATCCGATTTGAGTGTAACGATAGATCAAAAAGAGGAATGATAAATGAAAAATCGTGTGGCGTGTTCGATCGTTATAATGGTATTAAAAAGTAAAAGTCTAGAAAAGTAACAGAGAGAATCGTGTGTCGATACTCTCGCCGCTGCACGAACGCAGCGGATTATAATAACGGTTTGTTTGTAAGCGAAATCGTAATGCATACTTCAATCAAACTGCTGTCGTTAATTTTACACGAAAAATATCTTGTGGAAAAGATTGCTTCGTTTTTTCGAATAATGAATAAGGAATGAACGAGTTTTATTCAGAACTAGTGCATGAAATTTCGTAATCCAAAAATTATTTAAACGCCACGCGATTCTCATTTATAATATTTTGAATTGAACAAAAATTTGAAAATACTCTTTGAATGTTCTAATAAATATTTCAATCTTGTAAAAGAAAAAAAAATATTCGACGAATCCTTACCTTCTCCATCGCGATGTCGTTCAACCATCTAACGACCCTGAACTTGCCGCAACTTATAAGATCCTTGTGCGACGCGCAATCAGCTCGGCATCTCTCGACGTACGTCGAGTTGTTGTTGTTGTTGTTCGAATTGAAAATGTAAGAGGACGTGGTCGACGAGAGACAAAATATCGTCACCAATAAAATTCTATGGAAGCAATTCAGCCTCGAACCACGATTCATGACTCCTTGAACGAAGAACACCATCACCTTGATTTTTATTCTGTACACCAATTTTTCCCACGGGTCTCCCTTTCCATGATTATTTCCGATTATTCCCGAAGAAGAATGGTTTCTTTCGATCGAGCACGAGCACCGCCTCTCTCTGCCGAGGATGAAAATGCAGGATGATCGAGAGATTAAGTCCACTCACTATCTGACATCTTAGAAGGTGTCTTGACCATTTATATCTGGTGCATTTAGGTCGGTGGGGGTACCGGTCCACGGCTTAGATAATCTTGCAGCAGAGACTGGAGCTTGATTCTGCACGCGCAGTTTGTGAAAAGGCGAACGATCTCGATGGAACCGGCTGTGAATTGGATAAGAAACTTCTGAGGATCAGAAGTCAGAAATGCGACTCGTCGTTTTTCAATGGGAATCGTTGAATCGTTTTGTTTGATCGAGCAAGGCAAAAAATCCTTGTTACAAGTATGGAAGTTGTTATTATTTAATAAGTTAAATTTGAAAGGAGAATCGTAGAGTTTTGATTATTTTTAATCGTTGAGTTTCTTGTGAAAAAAAGAATGTATTAATATTTCATTGAAATTTCTATATGATTATCAGTGATAATGTGGAACAGCTTGTCTAACGAGTAAGAAAATGGAACTCAGTCAACCTCTTTCTGCGACCGGTTTATATACCCTTACCTGTTTTTCTAAACTATTTTCGATCGAATTAAAATAATTAGGTAATAAGATATGCATATAATTAATAAATAAAAAATAGCGTTAATAATTTCAAGATAAAAAATATTAAGAATTTAGTTATTTAAGAAATCCTTGAATAAGAAGAAAAAATATATTTAATGATTCGAAGAAAATAATATTATTATTTATTTTCTATACAAGAAGAATAAAAAGATTGATACACTTTATAATGATTCAAAAAAAAGAAGAAGAAGAAGAAGAAGAAGAAGAAGAAGAAAGGACATACTCCAAGATTTGAAAATCTATGGAAATTAAAAAAAAAATTTATATTTAACAATTGGAAGAAAACTACAAGTACAACTACAAGAAAAGAAAAGGAGAAAAATTATGCTTTAAAAATTCGAAAATCGTAATAAAAGTCTTAATGGCACGATAAACTTGAGGTCAGAGAGTAAAAAGATTCAAATTTGTCGATTCGAGGAAGGAAAGAAAAGAAATTATCACGATTGTTCGCGATTATTCGCAAGGAGAGCAAGAAAATGTTTTGCAAGCTTTCTCGTTCCTTCTGAATCTTTACTTTTGCTTATCTAACTGGTCGTAATCAGTGACACAGATTCCTTAATGACCCGTAACATCTTTAGACAACTCGAATATTTTTACGATACGGTTTCAAATAAACCGTGCAAACGAGAATTTACAAGATTCAGTTAAAAAAGAAAAAAAAGAAGAAAAAGAAGAAAGAAACAAAACTGGTAAAAACTAGTTTAGTGGTCGTCGATCAAATCTTGTTATCCTCGCAAAATATTCGTAATTACGTGTAATATTTTTCTTTATTCGTCCACTTCCTTTACCCGACCAAACCCTATTCCATTCCTTTTACTTTTCCAGGAGAAAATTTCTCTACACCGTTCCCTTAACGTGATTCGAACTTTATTCGATAAATTTATTCCTCGTCGATCGATTTAATTTGTCCGAAAATAATTTATCTGAAAATCCTCGGATGTTAATAAAACACAAAGAACGGCTTCATACAATTTTATTATACAATCTTTCTATTATCAATTAACTTCGATAACGTAATAATTAATATTTCAACAATTTGTATTTTTCATCGTGTGCGGATCGTGATCGAATTTTCACTTTCGAGATTAAGTTATTTAATCTTAATTACTGTAAATAAATCTCTTTTCTCTTTTCAAAGAGAAAATTTTTTTTATTAATTCTATTTTATTATATAGAAGTGAAATTCTTCTTAAAAAATCACATTGCTAGATAAAGAACATGTAAATTCTGAAGCTGAGAAAAATTCGAAGAAACTGGATCGATGAATTTCATCTCTCTAATTTTATTTCGATTTCAATTTTAATTTTTTGCACGTTTGATAACACTCCAACTAGAACTATTTTATTTTCACGCATAAACATTACTCTTAAACACTTTCTTACGTTCTTTCGATCTCTAAGAATAAATCGTTATTTAATCCTGCTTGTCCGTTTTCCAGCCATTGATTACGCTATCAAAAGAAGTATTTCGATTTTTTATTTAGATTTCTCGTATGTACGTGTATATTCTCTATTTGTATACCGTTTCTCTTACGAATAAAATCTTGAGTTGTTCCACTGTCGTTAATCTTTATTAAACAATGTTAATAGTTTGTAATATTTCATAATCATAATTCTTTTCTAATCAATTAAATATTGCAAATATAATTATTAATTTATTCTATTTGCTATATAATTGATCAAAAATTGAATGAATATATATACATATATATTTTTTTTTTTTTCAGAAATGAAAATGTTGTTTTAAAGAAAAATGTTTGATGGAATCAAGCGACCCGGATGTAAATAAAAATAAATAACTATTGCTACGAAGAATTAATAAATAACAGGTTTATAGAATTGATCGATAAATCAAACAAAAAGTGGAAGCAGAACGAGCAGCTTTGACTTTAGATATAAAAATCCAGGCCTCGTCCGATGTCTGGAAGGCAGAATCTTTGGATGCGCCATGTCTCTAGCTATGTAACCTGCTTTACAATTATGTTTTTTTTTTTATTTTGACCCACTTTTGTCCACAGGATATGACGATAATCCAGTTTGACCACCGCTTTTATACATAATTCCTGCAAGGATTCTTGCAAAAAGAATAAATATCTCATTCTCTTCGTGGATGACGATGATTTCTATTGGATTTAATAAGAAGAGAAAATTGTGAATGAGATTGTTTATCGATTATCGCTCCAGGTATTCGTCCAATTCGTTGTATTAATTACAGAAATATTACGAAGTCGATTAATACAGTAAATTCGAATCTTTCTAAGATTCAAATTTTCTTTTTCTCCTTCTTCCTTTTTTTTTGTGTGTGATCAATCAAACGTAAACAGATAAGCTTCCATAAAAATTAGAATGCAGAATAAGCATAAGATCGAGTACAATTTGCATAATCGATCCGTAATCGTACAAGTAATAAGGTTAATAATCATATTTAATCTCTCAAATCACCATACTTGCGATCAAAAAGCTTATTCTGTTCAATTGGTTTTATATATAACGACTTTGCCATTTCTATAACACATTATTAATATACATCGATGTATAATGTAAACTTATCACACGGATATAACATATTCATATCGTGTTAAACGATACGAGTGAAATAATACTACGAGATAATATTATCAACATAACATACGATAAGTGACAATCATTTAAAGAATTATAAATCACAAATTGAACGACACAGAAGATAAATAAACAAAATTCGACAAATCCTTTCTTCTCGTCCTCGTACCCAAATTCGTAGAAATCCATCATAAATAAACACACCGCAACGAATTTTATTATTTATTATCGATTGACGAAGCCACGCCATGGATACTTTTTTTTTTCTTTCCCAAAGAAACAATGTCAAACGCCACGACGATTTCCTCGTAAGAAACGTAAAGGGAGGGGACAAAAAAAAAAAAAAAGAAAAATTGACGTCAAACGAGACTGCGCCACATTTCACGGAAACGGAATCAAGACGTTTCGAATCAACGAATTGGGATAATAAAAAAAAAAAAAATAATAATAATAATAATAATAATAGTCCTCCTGGTTCGCATAATTTGCGAATAATTTCATTGTTTCGAATAAACTCGAGCTATCGTTAGAAAATGTCGTGGAAAGGAGAAGGCTCCTCGTCATCATTTACGGTTCGCTCATCGTCCTACGTTCGCTGCTTCCAATTGGCCTCCATTTCCGCGCCAATAGACGCGCCCCCCCCCCCATAGATCTCGTATGCACGATTGCTCGGGAACGCGATCCATAAACGATATAATTCCGCCCCGGTGAAAGTATCGATCGTCGATAATTATTGAACTTTCGGATAAGAAGAAGGATCGTTTCATTTTTATTCCCGATACGAAGCGAGGCAATCATTATGAAATTACGCCGTTTATGGCATGGAATCAAAAGATATAGTTAAGCTCGCGAAAAAAGAAATGCTCGGTAAATTGATCGGTAAAATTGATCGTCTGTTGATACCTGGATGGACGACGTGTGGACGCGTGAAAAT